ATATCCTTCGCTGTGTGACTGGAAGGATGCGGTTTACGATTATAGCAGTGAGGAGAGTGTGGAGGAAGATAACGGCAATGAGCTAGAAAGCAATTTCATAAACTAAATTTAACTGTTTATGATTTTTTACTTATTTTTGCACTTACAATCATTTTTAAGTTGTAATTAGGTAAAAAGAATTTATAGTTTTAAATATAATGTTATAGTTTCACTTTTGTTGCTTGCATTTTTTGGAGTGCAATCTTATGGCCTATGATCGAGAATTCAAGCGTTTGTTATGCATACATATGTATGTATGCATATCAAATATAGTTCAACTAATGTCCTTCTCGCCACCATCTCATATAATGAAGAATAGGTATCTTTTAAGAATAATGTCTTGTTTTGAAAGTTGTGAGTAAGTACCAAAAATATTAAGAATAAATAATTAAAATTTTTTAGCTCTAACAATAAAATTATATATGCTCATAATATATTATAGCAATAACCCAAGGACATCATACTAAAACCAAGTCAATTATTTTTCGGTTCAGTCGGTTGTATGTACTATATATTAGAGCGGGTTGGTTTACAGGAAGCCAAAAACGGAATAATCGCGTATGTGGAAAATGTTCTACAGATCATTCTGAAAACTTTGACTACCACGAGTCTAAAACTAGTTTCGAGCCAGCCATTTTTATGTTGATAAAAACGTACCGAAAGTCGTGTCAGCGATGAAACTGTAGCTTAGAACTGCCGGCTATAATGGGCGAACTATATAATGGGAACTATAATGGGATAACATCTTTTCAGTCATCGGATCTTAATCGAACTGCAATTGAAAGAGAGGGCGTGGCTCCGCCATTTACCACCAAAGCTAGAATAGCCAAAGTCGCTTAGGCCAATTCTTATAAGAATTATTACCGAAAATGGATGAAATCGGATGATAGCGACGTCCACTCACCGTATAACGGTACTGTTAGAAACTACTAAAAGGGCTAAATTAAATTACTTAATACGAGCCGGTGTAAAAATTGGACGATGGGCAAGGCACCAACCACTATTAGGTAAAATCACATATTTCAGAACCCACTCGACCAATTTCAACCAAATATTGTACGTAACATTCTTATATGACTGTGTGAATTGGACTACCATGCCCACTTCCCAAATAACATAATTTTAAATTCATCAAACTCTTCTGTGTGTCAATCGAGAAACAATTCATATAATTTAGTGTATGCCATCTTATGACCATAAATTGTGCAAATCCAAGTTCAAGCCCATAGGTATCGAATATATGGTACATACTTGTAGCTAGAGTTAAACGGCGAGTTACATACATTCGATCACTCTGCAGAAATCTCATAAGGGGATGAATTCGAATGTATTTGAATCCCAAATAACACTTCAAATTGGCAATGTTGTGAGATTGATCATTGCACTGGTTAGTTTTAAGGGGTTATATCTACTGTCAAAAATCGTTTTCTTCCATCCGTCAACCAATTTGTTGTTTAAACACTACTACACGGACTATTGACGTTGGGATTTTTACAATGGATAAAAGTATCGAACAAAGAATTTATCGCAAATTTTGTATTTCCAACCGAATGGTGGTAGAATTATCCTTGTGATATGTTACGACAACAGGCTGACTCAATTGTTCCGTTATAAAAAGTCCCTCACCCGTTAAAAGTGAGTGCAAAGCCATTCGAACTTTTATAAATAACCATTGTAATTTCTTTAATTTGTTAAAACAAAGTGTAAGAAGATAAAACTACTGTAGCTAAGTTATAAAACTACCTGAAGTAGACCGTTGTTTTAAAAAGAATAATATTTATATTAATTAGAAAGCTTGCGTAAATTGACTGATTAAACCAAATGCAGTCAGACTAATTTATCGATGAAATGCTTCATACTCATATTAAAACAATTGAATGACTAAACATTCGAATTCTATTGGCAGTGATAACTCTCAAGCACTTATAACCTTAAGAAAACCAATGCATCACAAGTTCACAAAGCACCAGTTATTTAAGCATTTACCCAATAATATGAAATTGTTTAACTTTGCACACATGGAAACACCCATACCATAGTGGTCATACACCTTATTTTTCTCACATAAAAAGTTATAAAGCAATAAATTAGTATTTTATTATTTTAATCTAATAATATCGGTTTATAATTATATTTCAAGATAACTAATTACCAAATATTGTTGAAGTGTCTTGTACTGACCGATAAAGGCATATCACTGAAGCAAGAGACAGCTGTGACGAACCAAAAATTCTACGAAATGCTAGTATAAAATATTACTACAACAAGCGAATACTAAAACAATTGCTGTACGTAAGATGACATTATGAGCATGGGGTTTTAAAAAACTTGTAAATTGTGCACCTAATACTGTCGTTATCTATTTAGGAGTAGTTATCCAAATGTCTTCGTAAATGAAGTCTTCTATATATTTTATGACCAACAATCAGAAGGAAACGTATCCATTCTGACCATGTGGACATTTTCCGATGTACAAAATCTTAAGTACGAAACAGAAATATAAGAAATCCTACAATATTAAAAAGATGGTATACAATCTCAAGTCAAGTTGGTATATAAATCCATCAATTGATGCGATGTGTGGAAAGTGGCACCGTATTATTCAAACCAAATAACGCCGAGATCACAAGTTTCAATTCAGGCATCAAATAGTCGTTTATCATGGCGCTTGTGAAGGTCGAGCCGCTTTAGTTCTTCCACAAGCTATATTTTGTACGCTTTCAATTTAAGATCTCGGCGCAAAATGTGACAAGACGTCCCATACGTCAGTATGAGTTGCTGCAAACGGCGCCTAATCGACCCAACATGGTCTACTTATACACTCAGCAATGTCTGCTATATTTTCTTCTTTGCGTGCTGGACCTAGTCTATTCGGTGGAATATTATCCAATAACAAATACTGGGTCTGAAAATGGGTGATGGTATTGCGAATAGTACGCTTAGTAGGCCGATTATGAAGATCATAAGTTGAGCGAAGCACACGAAACACATTCTTTAAAGAACGTGAATTTTCCTAATAAAGTTGAAGGATTTGTAAGCATTGTTGAGGCGTAAGTCTTGCCATAATGAAATGCCAAACAATACAGAACAAAAATAACACCACAGCTTGCCACAATTCACAGGTGATCTGTCAAAAAAGGGCTTTACTTGGATCACCCGTTGTTAAAAGTTATCCAATTCGAACACCTACGTACGAGTATACCATAGATAGAATAGAATTCAAGAATGCAGCAAAGCACTTACGAATATATTTGTATTTACTTATCAGTTGTTAGTTACTTTCTTAGAAAGAAACATCTGTTTAAATCTATCAGTCCTCCATGTGTCAGAGTGTGTTTTGCAAACAAAATGAAATGTTGTTTACAGATAAGTGCCAATAAAATAAAGTGAAAAAGTCGCTGTTATCTATCTACTAACTAAATATTAGGTACGAATAAGCAAGTGTGGGGGATTTTCTACCGAAACAGCTAGAAGGGTTGCGAATATATAAAGCGCCAACTAGATTTGGCATCGACAAAATCAGTTCGCGTGTGAAGCAAAGAGTTTGTGTAGACTTGGAAGTAAAATGCTACTACGAGTAAAATACGTTTTAGCGCTACTAGGCGCGGCTTCTGTTGTCGACGCCGGCCTCAGTGATGTGGACTACTGTAGTCCGGCCTATATGTGCAGTGGACGCAGTCAGAAGCATGTTTTGGCTTGCAATCATACTGGAGTGAGTATGAAAATAATTTTTCATTAGAGATTATATTAAAGATACTCACACCATTTTTCTGCACAGGCATTCGATGAGCGCTGCCCAGCAAATGCCGAAGTGCTACCTATGACTGAAGAATTTAAAAAACTCTTCTTAGGTGAACACAATAAATATCGCAACGAGATAGCGAAGGGTTTAACTTTCGAGCCGGCTGCAGCCATGGCCACCTTGGAATGGGACGACGAGCTTGCGTACTTTGCCGAATTCAATGTAAAGCAGTGTGGTATCATTTATGAGGATCAGAAATGCTTCACCACTGCACGCTACAATACGTTGGATCAAAATATCGGTCGGCTATTCAATACCAAATCGAAATTCAATCGTTCGAATATTTTCAATGAAATTAAGGAGCATATAAGGGTTAATTGGTATGAGCAGTATCACGATTGTACACAGACTGAAATCGATTCGTATCATCCCCCGCAAATGTGAGTAAATTGAAACAATAGTATATTTTGTATTAATTTTTTTTCTTATTTCGAACTATTTTTTCTCTATTCTCTTCAGCAAATTAATTTTACATTTTGGCAAAATGGTTATGGATCGCAATAATCGTGTTGGCTGTGCTGCTTCTCTCTACGAAACCGCATTTGGCATTAATGTGCTATTCACTTGTAATTACGCCCGTCGCCTATTCTGCTACAAACCCATATACCGTTCCGGCGCTTATCCAGGTTCCCACTGCAAAACTGGTATGAATCCAATTTATCCATTTTTGTGCTCCACGAAAGAGGAGTTCAATCCAAATGATTATAAGCTTTAATTGTTTATTAAATGGAGCTAACTTAATTCTTCTAAACTAAAATAAATAAATTTACCGGATAAAAATAAAAAGTCCGAAAAATATACTCCGTATTTAGTTAACTTCAGTTGATCCGAGCGGGATTCCTAAATCCATTTTGTATAGACATCACAATTTAAAAACCATCGACTATATAATTGTAGTCTGATGGGATCGATGGATATGAATCTTTACGAAATTTATATAGATATATCAAAAAGTGGTTTTGGAGCTAAGTATGGAATTAGTTAGGTTACAGTATTTTATAAAAGACGTCAATGAATTCGATAACGTCAAAAAAAGAAGATTTATATTTTATACTTAACTAAAATAATTTACCAAATTAAATAAAAATAAAAATAACAAATCTAAAATTAAAACATTGTCTGCTGTTAAAAAGCATTAACAATGCGAATTATCGAGAAATTGGTAACTTCGAAACCCGAAGATCGTAGTGGAGGTAAGGCCGCTTGAATATCCATCTGTACATGGTACTATTTACTTAGCACCGTCAAATGAACTAATATATCACAATTTGTGCCATGCAACACAGATTTATAAGTGGCGCTAGATGAAAGAGCCGGAGTTGTAGTTTCCATAGCATCAAGATCCGCGGTTGTTTTTTCTACCCATGATAATGCAGTAATACCCTTCGAAGTGCTGGAAGCTTCGTCGACTGTTGTGTTTGCTTCAGTTGACGATGACGGTGTTGTAATATATGAAGTGCTAGAAGATCCGTGAGCTGTTGTGCTTGCTTTAGTTGACAGGTATATTTTAGTATCAGAAGTGCTGGAAGCTTCGTCAACTGTTGTGCTCTCTTCAGTTGATGATGATGGTGTTGTATTGCCTGAAGTGCTAGAAGATCCGTCAACTTTTGTGCTTCTTTCAGTTGAAAGGTATGTTGTAGCATCTGAAGTGCTGGCATCTTTATCGACTGTTGTACCCTCTTCAGCTGATGATGACGGTGTTGTAACATCTGCAGTGCTAGAAGATCCGTCGACTGTTGTGCTCTCTTCAGTTGATGATGACGGTGTTGTAACATCTGAAGTGCTAGAAGATCCACCAACCACTGTGCTTCTTTCAGTTGATAGGGATGTTGTAGCATCTGAAGTGCTGGAAGCTTCGTCGACTGTTGTGCTCTCTTCTGTTGATGATGATGGTGTTCTAACATCCGAAGTTCTAGAAGATCCGTCAGATGTTGTACTTCCTTCAGTTGATACGGATGTTGTAGCATCTGAAGTGCTGGAATCTGTATCGACTGTTTTACTCTCTCCAGTTGATGATGATGGTGTTGTAACATCTGAAGTGCTAGAAGATCCTTCAGCTGTTGTGCTTCCTTCATTTGATAGGTATGTTGTAGCATCAGAAGTGCTGGAAGCTTCGTCAACTGTTGTGCTCTCTTCAGTTGATGACGATGGTGTTGTAACATCTGAA